AAGAAAACACTCCACGGTGGCTGTATGTACGCATATGGTAACAGTAGTGAACGACTTAAAAATTCCAAAATGAAATGAACTCGCGGATAATTTGCCATCGACGTAGTCGTCGAGCACAAACGCGAAACTGTAATGTAATTTAAAAGGAAATAGGAGGCCGTTCGAGCGGGACTAATGCGACGAACAACGTATATATATATAATGTATAAAGCAAGAAAAAAAACACATCTCAATGTGTTTCCATCGCTCGAACCACCCACGTCTGCGGAAAATAAATAAAAATGCTTGTTGTGTATTGGGTAAAGGTTTTTTTTTTGTTAATTCTACGAGAGAAAATAAATAACATTGCATTTTCGGCACTATGTAGTTTTATTTTTTAGCAAATGACAAATATATTAGTTTGCGCCACACACAATATGGCTCTACACACAGCGACCCAATATTGTTATTATAACATATTGTATTCTTATTTTGTGTTACAATTATAATGGTGCAACGTGGTGTTAAAGAACATTCGTATAATTTAGTTAGACCCGTTCAGCATTGGATTTTGGCTAAGATGAGTGAAGAGAGAGAGAAAACTGACTCGTCACGAAAAACAACACCGAAACACAATAAATATGTCAAGCGATGAGACCGGATATAGCGTTATCTCGGCGAGCGCGTAAAAATGACTTCATCCATCATTGCTGCAGGTCCCTGTTCGAGATAATTAAACCTCGTGTAACAACGGAAAAGTTGTTTCTAAAAAGTCACACTCGCCGTTTTAAATGTTATGATTGATGACAACAAATATTATTATCACCTACGTGAACACCGCACGATGGCGGCGTCTCAGTCACCACAGCTATATTAACTGTATATATATTAAATATATTATAAATAAATATGGGAGGGGACCCGGGGCTAAGTCGTTATGTATTATTTTATGATAAAGTAGTTGTATAAGCTTTTTACAGTATATAGTAATAGTAGGAATGTATTTATAATTATTTATATAACGGATATAGTAAAATAATACGGTGTAAATACTGTAATAATACGTTTTATTTTATTTATTATTTTTAGAAATTTATTGTAGTAATCAAACCATTCGATCGTATATACTGTATAGCAATATATTTACAGTACAAGATATAATATTAATATACTATACATGCTTAAATATATATATCTATTATAGGACACGTATTTTATTTGTTATAATGTTTTGCGGCGATGTACAATTTGAAAAACGTGTCTGAACGAGCTATTTAGGGTAACGTTGTTAGAAAAAACGAAAATCGAAATGAGAAAAAGAGAAAAAAGCCGTTCAAAAATTTTACGATCCATCATTCTGTTTATTCTTCTGGCTGCCGATTTTTCAGCGTTTTTCTCTCTGAATATATATGTACATATCCACCACCGTCTCTCATTATTGCCCCGACCCTTGCGCGCATATATATATATATATATATGTGTGTGTGTGTGTATAGAATGATTTAAGTTTTGCGTGAAAAGTTTGAAGTATACACGTCGTATAGTCGTCGTATACCCACTGTAAAAGTTTTGCGTCGAACGATGGGGATTTGACGTAACCGGCGTTAAGTGTCTGGGTATGGATTTCGCATTAATCACCCCCCTTTAGGCGCGTCTCACTACCCGGCCCGCGTAATGACAGTGCGTCGAACACTTATATTATATAGATATACAGTTTATATGTATTATTGCTGCAAAAACGGTGGCGACGTCGGTGAATATATATATATATGCATTACGCTTTATCTTGTCCCCATTCTACCACCTCTACTATAGTCACTATATATATATCTGGGCATATCACCTATTTCTCGACGATGACTATGGTAAAAAATATATATTGCATTGTACGAACAGGGATCATCATCAACTTACCCCCTCCTTTTTCTAAAAACTCGACCTATACATTACGCATACCAAGCATACTCTTTGCAGATCTATACATAATAATATAAAAGGCGTAAATACGTAAAGTACATTTATATATACACGCTGTAAGATCACTCGATCGACAAAGTATTGACATACCTAGCGTGTATACAAATAACGATAATACTACTACTACTACTAATAATAATTGTAATAGTGGGCCCTAGGAAAAATAACGCGTGAATAATAATTATACTCATATAGATAATGGGTAACCGTAAAATAGAATAGATATAATAACGAAAAGAAGAGGATATAGCGACGTGTGTGTTTTTCAGTGTGCAGTATGTACACATAAATAATTATAAATGACAAATCGTTCACGGGCCGTTTAGACAAAGCTGGTTACACGGTAGACAAATCAAAGCGGTTGACGCTGCAGAACTGTACGCATATTTCATATCGAGGAGGAAGAGTCCCAGGGGAGGTCCTAAGTAGCTTACATAAATCAAAATCCTGCTGCTACGAAAGAGAAAAGGGTTCAGGCAACTACTAAATGTATATAGGCTCGAGTATAAAATATTATAATAAAGCAACGGCAAAATGTCATACATCGCGCGCGCAGTGTGCTGTAGTTACATGTAGGCATCTATTTAAATATCACAGCGCCTATATATTGTGTAATAATTCTTTTTTTTTTATTTTTTCATCCATCCATATGATCCATATGTGCCTTGCAGCGAGACAAACGTCTCATAAAATAATATATTAGACAACTGCAGCAGTGCCGCCATCCCGTCACACATGCACATCCTACGGATGTCAAAAATTGTGTGTATATAGATAGTTAAGAAAGATAGTTTTTCTTCTTCCGCAGAGTAAGTCACCTACGTGAGAATGTCCTTTGTGTCCCGGATACTACAATAAGACCCTTTTGATTTTCATACAAACTTTTCTCAATATCAAATATTATGTAATTTATACCTACCATATAATATTGTTATAATAATTACTGCATTAGAATGATATTAAATCGGGTGTGGGGGGAAAGACCTAGTCCTCCACTAAAATTCTGAGGATGTTCCTCCTCCCATGATGTATTTAATTTTGTTTGTCTCGCTGTACAAACAATATATATATATATATTATAATATTATAATATTATTATTTTTAACAATAATATAACGATAAGTTCCCACAAAAGTGGTCTAGGTGAAATTAATATAGAATTTGAATATACTTAGTATTACGATCCATTATTGTGTCGTTACATAATGGCGTTTGAATATGGATATTAAAAAATGTAAGTACCTATATAATACATAATATCTGTACATTAAAGTGGCATGGGATATTAAAGTATATGCTAGTCTCGGAAAAGACGTAGGTACCTACCGACTACTGACACACGCATCGAGTGAAAATAAAACCCCTTCTTCATCCCATATTGCATTTGATATTTTTCGCGGACGTATTATCGAAACGCATTGCACAAGCGACCGTCGCCCGCTGAGAACGTATACTCATACATGTGTGCATAATAGTTGGCGACTTTATATTATACTATACGGCATTGTCGGATAATATTATATTATGTTATATTATACAGATTGTATATTACACGTGTATGCGATAGTACCTACAACGGCAACGGCGATTGCTATACGTCAAAGCAATATACGTAATAATCTGCTGGCTATGGATATATATATATATATATACAGAGAGCGAGAAGAGAGTCAATTTCACAGACTTCTCGAGGATTAGAGTTAACACACACAAAGAGATGTTGTGCGTATTTCATATATAATATGTATGTAATACGTGTACACTGTATATAACTGGTGTCGTTGCCGCAAAGCCGTCCTCAGAGAGTGTCAATACGACAACGGCGCACTGCTCCATATCAACTTGTGTGTGTGTGTGTGATTGTGCGTGTGTATATATTGGTAATAATGACGACGGGCCCATATTGAAAGATTACGTTGCTGTTCGGTGAAAGCACGCCGCCGAGTCGTCACATATTTAATACGTATATATAGTCCCTTCGCGAGCGCGCCCCTCATACCATCAGTGGCTGTGGCGGTACGGTTGCGCGGGGTTGAGCTTAGACTTTTACACAAAAGCCTCCGAGGCATTACGCGCGAAGTCTCCTCCACCCGGCAACCGGCCCTGGTGTGTTATTAACACTTCCTCAATGCCACGCCAACGATTACTTTAAAAAAAAAAAAAAGAAAAAGAAAAAAAAGAAAAGCTTTCCCGCATTATACTTTCTTTTTTTCTTATTTTCAACACCCTCGAGTTGGCTAAGGTTTATAATATCATCGCTTGTATGCCATATTTCTGTACCACAGATAATGATATAATGCTGCGCTGTTGCGGTCAACAGTACCTACAATATAACGTACCAGTATTATTATGTTTCGGTGTCCGACGTAACGTTTAGACCGAGAACCGAATATTCATACCTGTTCATCTCAATCGATTTGATCGTATTCAGGTGATACGGACTGTACCTGTTGTACGTGTTACGTAGTCTATCTAATTGGCTACGGACCTATTTTCTACGACGCCACGTCGGTCATAATTATTATCTGTTTCAAGACACATTCGAACCAATAACACAGGTCTACAAAGATTTTACTGTTTAAAATTTAATAACTGATTTATATGTATTTTTTGACACTGATTTCAAAAATATTACAATTTTTTGTCTATCACCTAAAGTTCTAAAGTTATCCCGTTATTACCAATTAACATTATGCACAAATAGCCTACGAACAGTTAATTTTTTATTATATGTTATCGTTACGATATTAATACATAGTTACAATGGACAACCATATCTTAATCCATACATTTTATCATAATGAATAAAGATATAGTGGTTTTTATATTAGGTACTATAGGTTTATCTGTATATTCGACTATATGGGATCGTCAATTAGGAAAAAACTGATAACATAAGCTCGGAGGTAAATGTGTTTACCTATTATAACTTTATTTTTATTATTTAGTGTCACAGTTTCAATAGTAATTATATATTATTGTCAGTGTTCTATTAGAAATATTTTATTAAATATAATATAATAAAATATATTATAAACATGGAAAAAAGACGCTGCGTTAATAGTCCAGACATTTTTTGTTTTATTTGTGGTGAGTTTATGGTGAAGAAACAAATTTAAAACATCAATCCTTTCGTGAAAAATGCATATTATGCATTAATTAAATTAATTATGCATAAATTTCCGTGTTACATTTGTGAGTGGGATAGTCGAGCGCGTGACAAACATTGGACTCAAAGACAGTGGCCTTTAAGAAATAATCTTATTGTAGGAGATAAAAATATATTACGAAATAATTTAGTCGACCCCAAAAATATTTTATTACCACCGTTACACATAAAACTGGGTCTAATGAAACAATTTGTAAAAGCATTAGATAAAAATAAAAATTGTTTTCAATATTTATGCAAAAAATTTCCACAACTTTCCGAAGCTAAGCTCAAAGAGGGTATTTTTGTAGGCCCACAAATAAGAAAATTATGCAAAGACAATGCATTTTTAAATTCAATGACAACTATTGAAAAAAATGCTTGGATTTCATTTAAGGAAGTAATTAACAATTTTTTTGGAAATATTAAAAGTGAAAATTACGAAACCATAGTAAATTCTATGTTAGAAAACTATCGTATCTTGGGCTGTAACATGAGTATCAAAATGCATTTTCTATATTCACATTTGGACAAATTCCCGGAAAATTTGGGAGACGTTAGCGAGGAACAAGGCGAAAGATTTCACCAGGATATAAAAGAAATGGAGAGACGCTATCAAGGGCGTTGGAGAGTTACCATGATGGCTGACTATTGTTGGATGTTGCAACGTAAAACTCACCATGTATATAAAAGAAAATCGACTAAACGAAGTTTTTTTTCAAAGAGGCAAAGATATTCTTCAAATACGAAGTAATATTAATGTAAAAATTGTATTAGTTGTTTAAAATAGTTATGTAAATAGGTAATCTTTATTATTTTCAATTAAAATTTTTTTTGTTAATATGCTATATTTCATTCGTAAATTGTAAAAAACTGTGACGTGGTATGACCAAATAGTTAATATATTTAAATTTGGTGTACATATTTTAAATAAAACCAGTGATTAGAAACAGGACAGCTTTTGAAAATATTTTTTTTGTAGACCTGTGTAATTTTCCGTGTGATGTCAATCAAGTTCATATTATATAGTTACGCATCTAATATTATAACATGTGAATACTCGAAATACATTATATATCATTACACGTATCCTTCTAAGAATTTCGGGGGGCATTGTTAAAATAGCAATAATTAGTCGATTACTACTTGTGCGGCTATACGCGCCGACGGCAGTGATTTAATTAAAAATTATCACAATAATACATTAATGATTGGCACATTTATTATCTGTGCCGAAGATTTTTTAACTATCTGACTTTCAGTAGACTATACATTGTAATTTACAGTTCTTCTCTAATAGCCATCACACCGCCGCTTAATGATATTTTATTTTTCGCTCAAATAGATTCATAATGTATACAGTATACATTATGTGAGCGATAATGTGCATATTATAATACGTCTTATTTGTTATTATACACATTTCACTATTAATGTTGTTTGTGAGGGCGAATGTAAGTTCCTACACGAGAGTAGCAGGTAAAAAAAATACACACGTTAGTTCCTACACGGCGGAAAAAGGTACG